CCTGGCCCCACCCTCCACCCCCATACACAGTAGGAACACCAAACGCAAACCCCCGCCCACCACGCCCTGCAAGCGGCGCCCGAGGCCCCGCCCACCACCAAAAACGCGCGCACACACACACACACACACACACCTCTGTGGAGAAGATGGGCATGGTGACGCGGCCGGTGGGGAAGGAGCGGGGCCCTCCCGGCCGCCACTCGTCGCTGGCGTCCAGCGTGTGCTGGTGCTGGGCAAGCGACCAGATTTTGGTGTGGTTGTCCATGCCCGCTGCAGGGGGTGAACAATGTGTGTGCTTGTGTGTTCCCTTGTGTGCGTGGCACACCTTCAGCGGGCAGCGGGGACCAGATTTTGGTGTGGTTGTCCATGCCCGCTGCAGGGGGTGAACAATGTGTGTGCTTGTGTGTTCCCTTGTGTGCGTGGCACACCTTCAGCGGGCAGCGCACAGCAGGTGGCTGCACGGTGCCAAGGCAAGCCCGGCACTCTTCCATAGCCCCATCCTGCGCACCCCCCACCAGGCCACGCCACCCCGCGCACCCGACAGCAGCAGGCTGTCCGCCCCCGCCTTCCAGCTCAGCGTCAGCACCTCGTTGCGGTGGCCGCCGTCGCCTTGGAACAGCAGCACGCAGCACCTGCAGGGGGGCGGGGGGGAAAGACGGGTGCGCGAGGCAGGAGGTGGCGGGGCAAGGCACCTAAGCTGAGATGCGCCCGCCCTGGCAACCAGGCAGCAGCAGCAGCAGCAGCAGCAGCAGCGGCAGGAGCTGCCGCCGCCGTTCCGCCGTCACCACCACCCTGACCCCCCGCCTCGCCTGGTGCGCAGGTTCCACAGGCGCAGGCTGTGGTCCCTGCTGGCGGTGGCCACAAACTGGGGGCGGGTGGGGTGCGCCGCCACGTCGTTGATGCTCGAGCCGTGCCCCTCCAGGCACGTGTCAAGGGTGCCGGTCAGCGCGTTCACCACCACCAGCTGCCCGCTCTTGCCCGCCAGCAGCAGCAGGGGCGCGCCGCTGTCGCAGTCAAGGGACCAGCAGCAGGCATAAAACTCCTCGCTGGACTGTGCAGGGGGGGCCAGGGGGCGCACAGAGAGGCGGGCGGGTGAGGGCTGGTGGCCACAGGCGGGGCAAGGCTCTGAAGCAGCAGCAGGGGCGCAAGGCAGACTGCTCTGAAGCAGCGGCGGCGGGGCCTCAGCACGAGCGCTGCTGGCACGGCGTGCGTGCGTGAGTGCGGCCCCCCCAGCTGCCGCCGTCTCACGTCGGCATCGCAGAACACTTGCAGCACCTCCAGCTCGCCCCCCGGCTGGCAGGCGTAGATGGTTGCCTGCGGGCAAGGCGGGGAGCGCGGCGGCGGCGCCGGTGAAGGCTGCTGGCGCAGCAAGCGCTGCCACGGTGTTGTCGACGCAGCAGCAGACAGACGACCCGACTGGCCGTGCTGCACGCTGTACAGCTGCATGCGCCTGCCGCAGGGCAACCCTTGTGCCGCCCCACCCTGCAGCCGCCCACGGTGGCCAGCAGGTCGCCCAGCTGGTGGGAGAAGTGGTTGAAGGCGCCGCAGTAGATGGGCTGGCGGTGGCCCTCTGTCAGCCTGCAGCGCGTGCTTGTGATCCCGGGTGGAGCGTACGCCTGAGCGGGGCGGTTGAAAGGCCAGCGGCAGAGCTGGCGGCGGCGGCAGCGGCCGCACCATGCCGTCTCTTTGTATGTCCAGCGGCCCCCAGGCTGCCCCGGATCGCTTCCCATGCTTCAATTGGGGCTCAGTGGCCCACAGGGCTGCGACCCAGCCGTCTGGTTCAGCTAATGGTGCGCCAAGCTTTTGAGAGTGCTGGCTGCCCTAGGCCCGCTGTTGCCGCCTCAAATGGAGGTCGTAACGATGCACAGCAGTAGAAGCAATGCCAGGAGAGCTGCAGGTCGCTGGAGAGTAGAACGGTGACTGTGCCTGGCCTGGGCTCCACACGTGGCCCGCAGGCCGCAGCGTTGGAAATGCCCGAATTTCGCGCATTCGACCACATTCTCGCCATCAGTGCCAGACCCTTGGTTCAGCGCCTCACCGCTCGGTTCAGCACTCTGGACGGGCTGCCGACCACCCCTCTGTCTGCCCGGCTACTGTAGCGGCACGGCCCATGGCCTAGAAAAATATGCCACCGTTGCTAAGCCGACACACTGGGCTGGCAAACAGCACGACGTTCCTGCCCACCAGGTGCGGGGTGCCTCGCCCCACCGCTGCTCGGAGGCACTTGGCCTCTGCTGCGGCCCCTGAGCACGATCGGCATGCGAGAGCCTCAGGCCGCTCCATGCAGGAGCACCGCGGTCCCCCTCCGACACTGCCGGTTCGGCCCAAGCTCTCAGATTGCTGCTTGGCCTCCCCTGCAGACTAGGAGGCCTCCGCCAGCGGTCCAGCAGCATTGCTAGGCAGCTGCAGGGCCGCTCCCTACTGCATTGCGTGGCCGTGGCGGAGCCGCCGCTGCGCAGGATGGGCGGCAGCAAGCGGGGCAAGCGCCCGAGCCGCAGCGACAACAGCAGCAAGAGCAGCAACACGGTGCTGACGCCGGTGGAGCAGCAGCAGGAGCAGCAGCAGCAGCAGCAGCAGGCCCACCAGGGCGCACACAAGGCGGCCTCCGCGCGCGACGCCCAGCAGGCGCGGCAGCGGGCGGCCGCCGCCAACGGCGCGGCCTCCAGCAGCTCCAGCGCCGCCGCCGGCACCGCCGCTGCCCCCGACGCCGGCAGGCTGCTGCCCATCGCGTTTGCCGACGGCCAGGTGACGGTGGGCGACGGGCTGGTGCTGCTGGACCGCATCACGCCGCTGGCGCGCGTGCAGCACCCGGCCTCCACAGACATGGTGCTGCTCAGCCTGGCGGCCAGCCAGGGGGCCACCGCCATCGAGGACTTCTCGCTGGGAGTGGTGAGCAGCTGCGTGTGTTTGTGTGTGTGGGGTGCGGCGGCTGCAAGGCATGCCCAAGACAACATGGATGCGTGTGTTGGCTGCCGTGCCTGGCATGGTGGCACACGGCCAGCTGCGGCGTACTGGGGTTGGGCAGCTGCCCAGTTGCCTTCTCCTACCGCCTCGCCAGGCTGCCGCAGCGCGCTCTCCGTCCAACAGCCAGGCGTTCGTGGCCCCTGCCGCTCACTTGGGCCCGTGCCCCCTCCCCTTTTGCGTGGCCCCCCCACCCCCCCACCCCCGCCACTGTGCAGCTGCACTGCAAGCAGTGGCTGTGCTGCGCGCGCAACAAGCTGTGGTGGATGACGCCTGAGTGGGGCAAGAATGCGCGCGACCTGCCGCCAGAGACGCAGGTGCGGGGCGTGGGGCGCCGGGAAGCAGGCGGGCGGCACATCGCAGCACAGCATGCGGCGGCGGGATTGCCGGCGCGCTGTGCTCCAGCCTGGCCTGCCTTTCTTTGCTCACACGCACGCATGCCGCATGCCCCCCCCCGGCAGTTTCTGCTGGCTGAGCTGGAGGACGGCACCTACGCCGCCATCCTGCCGCTCATCAGCCAGCAGAAGTTCCGCGGCACGCTGCGCCCGCCCAGGTGAGCCCACCTCTGCTGGGGTGGGGTGGGGTGGGGTGTGGTGTGGGGGTGGTCTCTAGCTGTGGGGGGTGCGCCCAGAAACCGGTGGGTGCCCCAGCCAGCAAGGGGGGGGGTTACAACAGCAGCCTGCTGCAAGTGCCTGCCTCGAGGGGCATGCCTCCTGCCAGCCCAGCCCGGCGGCAGGCGAGCGTGCAGCCTGCCCTGCCCCGCCCCTCCGCTCTAGCGCCAGCACTAGCACTAGCGCCAGCACTAGCAAGCCTAGCCCTGCGTCTGCTTCTGGAAGCAGTCCATGGTGAGGTTGGCGGTAAAGGCGGGGATGGAGCGGAAGCGGTCGATGAAGGTCTCCACCTCGCGCTGCAGCCGGCCGCTGCGGTACAGGCGGGGGCGCGGGGAGGGGAGGGAGGTGGTGCGGCGGCGGTGTGGAGGTTTTGTGGGCCGGAGCAGCACCGAAAAGCCAGCCGGCGTCAGGCCCTTGGCTGCCTGATCAGCTGGCCGATCGGCTGCACCCGCTGCCACCAGTGCCGCCCCCGCACCTAAGCTCCGTGGGCACCAACACCATGCGGTTGTCGCGCAGCATGCGGAACACCAGCTGGCTGGCGGCGTCCTCGGCGTGCTGCGGCCGCAGCACAAACTGCGCCTTGAACTCCCTGCGCACACACACACGCCGGGCGGGGGCGGGGGTCACGGCAGCCGCATGGGGGCTTGCAAGGCAAGAGGCTGGCCGGCAGCAATGGGCCGAAACGTTGCGCTCCTTGCTGCCGGCGCCCTGCCTGCTCGCCTCCCCGCCCGCCCACCTGGCTGCCGGGTCTGTGGCCATCTCCACTCGGAATCCAAACAGGGTGTACACGCCCTCGCGGAACAGCGTGATCTGCTTGTTGAACACCTGAGCAGGGCGTGGAGGGGTGGAGGGGGTTTGGGGCAGATCGAGGGGTGAGGGGCAGGCAGGCATCATCTGCTGCAAACCACTGCGTGCCGCCAGCAGCGTGTTGCCCCGCAGCAAGCAGGCTGCCCGGGCCAGCCCACCTGCTGCAGCCGGTCCATGCCCTTCTGCAGCTCCGCCACCTTGCGGCGCAGCAGGCTGGCCTCGCCCTCCAGCTGGGCCAGCCGCATGCCGCCGCCCGCGGGGGCCGCCGCCGCCGCTGCCGCGCCGCCGCCCGCGGCCTCCACCGCCGCCGCCTGCTGCGCCGCAGCAGCAGCCTCCACGCGCTGCAGGTGCTGCCTCAGCGCCTCGTTCTCGCTTTCCAGCTCCGCCACGCGTGC